AATAGTGTCATTAAATCTTGAAAATAATCATTTAAAATGTGAGTATCCGTGTCAAATCGAGAGAATCTGGATGGATAAATTCTAATACAATCAGTTCCGTTCACACCAGACCAATGCTCTAATAAGAGAATCATGAGAGATTTTTTTAGTCCTTTTTCCCCATGAGTCGGTATATATGCCTCTACTGATGCTCTTATTATGGATAGATGACGTAGATTGTGCTAAAAATATCAGTTTTGTTCTAAATGCGTAATGGTCGTGTTCACAGCGTTCCACGTCCTTGATTCAGATTTCCCTTGCACCTCTGTTCCACGTCCTTGATTCAGACAAGGACCAAGTGTGGACTGATCACAAATTTCAACGGCACAGTTAATTAGAGAGAGAAGTGAAAAAAATTTCTGTCCAACTTATTAAGTGCAAAATAAGTTACTCCAAGGAGAGATTCTTTTCATTAATTGTAGTATCATATCAGCCATTTGTGGTGCGATTGCGATATGGTAAATAAATAATGAGATAAAAAATAATTACATGGACCCTTTCCAACACATTTACTCTGTTACATGTGCCAAATATAAAAACAAAAAAATAAAACAATACAGCAATTGTATATTAGTACTAGCTAGTGCACTATTTCGACTGAGGTTTTAAATAATGGGTTAAGCCATTTAATGGCGATATCGAACATGAGCTATAGAAGCTATAGCGAGATATAATATAACCTATTTCATTTAGTGGTTTATAGAAATACATGATTTTGTTTAATTTTAATTGTGAACAGAAACAAGAAACTATGGAAATTTCATGAACATAAATACCCAAATAATAATGTCAAAAGCTCTAGAGGACATGTCTCCATGTCCATTACTTCACGGTTTATTCAATCAACCAACATACTCACAGCTATAATCAACATTCATATTTATTCAATCAACAAATAAATGAACTCAATAGTTATTCATTGGTTCAATACATCATTTATTGAAGTTAAAAACACAGTAAGAAGTACATATTGTAGTCATCTAGAGTAAAGAATAAATATTTGACTTGGGCAGGGATTAGCAGCGCTAAAATTTCGTGGCTATATCAAATAAGGGTTCTGTGAGCTAAAACGTCATTAGCTGCAATAGAGATTAAAATGCTTTAGCAACTGCTGGATGCATGGACAAACTGGGAGGCAGAAAACTTTTGGGTTTAGTAGAACACTGGAACTACTTTAGGCTAGCAAGGAACATGTCAGCAATGACGGTATGTAGTGGACCAAGATTCGTGTGCCTAGCTGACCCTCGAGAAAACCGTGTATCTCCCACATCATGAACTCGTGGTTTCGTCCACATCCAGGCATCCCTTGTAGTTGTATTATTTTGGTCCGTTCGCGTGCCCTTAAACCCGACTTAATCCGCTTCTTTTTTTTATCCAAAACAGTATTTTTCTCTCACAAATTCCTCCAGCATTCCTCCAAACCATCCAAATTCCTTCAGAATTCCTCCAGCCGAACACCCCCTTTGTAGTGTGTGCTAAGGCATGCCGCATGAATGCATGAACCAACAAAGATGGAGGGAACAAATCGAGATATACGTATACACACAAAGATGCCAAAGTTTAGGTCCAAGAAAAAGAGAGTATATGAGTCTATGTCTGTTCACTTGTTGGTTTCAGCCAACGCTTATCAGTCAATCAACAGTATTTTTCTCTCACAACAAATCAGCACCAGCTGGACTTATCAGCCCAGAAACCTACCAGCGAACATGCTGTATAATCACTGCGCCTCTAGTTCTTTTTTTAAGGGCGCACTGTACCAACAGTCTTTCACAAATTTCTCTCGAAAAAAGAGATGTGCATGTCTGACGTCAGTCATTGCTTAGTAGTGTGTGCTAAGGCATGGCGTCATGCATGCATGCATCTCATGTGGTCATGAGGATGCATCAAACTTTTGATCGTAGGGATAAAGTAGTCAATAAATCACAAAAGCTAAATATCTTTAAAAAAATAGGTTGAAAGGGGTTGAATATGGCCCAACAGAGGATTAAACTGGTTCTAAAAATTAAGTGCAACAAATCTTAACATATGCAAAATTACGTATGCACTTGCACGGAAAAACTTCTAGGACTAAAAAGATCACACTAACGAGGAGTCCTTAGGGTCATTAAGCTAGTCATATCCTTAGCAAATATTCACACAAAGAATATGGTCCTTAGTTGCAGAAAGTAAATCTATAGCTAAGCACACTCTAGCATGGGAGCAGAGATCCTAGTTGTCACACAAGTATCTTGCACACAAACAAGTGCAACACACACTAGGCTAAAACATGAATGTAAATGCATGGACGAAATAGAGCAAAAGGGACCATCGGATTTTCCCCCCCATGTATTGAGTTGTTGCCATAACCCCACATTATTGCAGCACCAAAAAAGAATATTATATGTGTTCTATAGGAAATCATGAATCACGCTTGTGTGCATATATGTAAACGTCTATGTCAGTATTATATTTTTTAGAAAATGAATTAAAAATAACACAACAATGTTGGGAATGTTTAACGTGTTGCAGTTACGAGGGACCGGGGCAAGTGACAAATGATTTGCCATTTTGTGACAGGGATGAATGTAGGAGGGATTTTTTTTAGAACAATGGCCCTGTTCGCTTGTCTTATAATCCGTATTTTTCAGCTGTTTTTTTCAGCCGGAACAGTGTTTTTCTCTCACAACAAATCATCCGGAATAGTGTTTCGCCTTGTTTTTTCAGCGAAACGAACGGAACCAATGTAGGAGGGATTAAGTGTGCCCCCCCTAATAATGGCATAAAGTTAAATGCCTCGAACATACTTGCTTTTTATGGTATAATAAAGATAAAGAAAATAATAATAGTATAACAGGAATAGTAATTGATCTTTAGAATAAAAATACAATGTTTAAGGAATATATGTTGTCCTCTGGCCCACCAGAGGCAGACAACATTACATTGTTACTTGAGCCCAGAAAAGTTGGGCTGACCTACCGGCCCACTAGCTCCTGGCTGCGAACATGCCTAATGGAGGCCCAAACACAAAAAATCTTAACCCGTTGTCTTTCATCACTCTTTTGTGTTGGACAGGCCTGTTTGTTCAGACAGCGCGCGACGCCAATTTCCGAATTTTGAAGGCCGTTTGGAATGTTGGAATTAAAATCTATAATAATAATAATAATAATAATAATAATAATTTATGCACAGATCAATTAAGCTAATATGGTTGTCTATAGAATATTTGTATACTATTGTTGGACATACGAATGATATAATTATGTCTATATTTTATGCTGCGTGAGAACGAATCGAAGAATGTGCTATAAGCTGCAGAGCAGTAATACACGACATAGCTTAGTGATCTAAATAATCAATTTCCATTCCTCGTCCTATAAATTTAAGATAGACTTATACGTTAATTTTGAAAAGTTATGAAATGCTAAATTCTAAGACAAATAGCATTAGGTAGATTCTAATTCCTCTAAATGCTAGATGAAAGGATCCCGAACCCGAAGGGCTCCATGGAAAATTGTAGCGAACACGTACACGGCGCCGGTGGTTGTCTTGCACCATTTCCATTTTTCCTTAGTCCTAGCGTGGCACACCGTACACAAAAGCAAACACCAGTACACAGGCAAACGGAGCTATAGTACGGAAGAGCGCCGAGGCAGCAACGTGCCGTGCCGACACAGCGCGGACAGGGGAACAGCGCGCGACCAGCAGAGGGAACCGCACGCACGGGCACGGCGCGCGGCGAAGGACGACGAGGTGCCTCCTGGTCGGGGCGTGGCGCTCCATCGGGCGCGACCGCGCGCGCGTGCAAAGTTCCCCAAACCGGGGCCGGCAGCTCCGGCTGCCGTTGCCGCTAGCGGGCGTAGATTAAAAACCGTACGGAGTATGGTGGGGGCCGGTGGTTCGGTTGGATTGGATACAGGTGGTCGCTTCGCTGAAAAAATAAGTTGAAATACTGTTCCAGCTAATTTATTGTGAGAAAAAAAATACTATTTCAACTAAAAATACAAGTTAAAAAATACGGATTATAAAACAAACGAACAAAGCCATTCGGGGCAAATCCAGTCCAGCACGGCTCGAGTAGGTAGTGCTGCTCTCCGACTCCGATCCAGTGCGTGGAATGAATTTAAGCAGGTCGTCTTTCTTTCTTTTTCCGAGCAAAGTCTCGCCTCCTTTCTGTAACCAAAGGTTGGTACGATGTGGCTCGCGCGCGGTAAAAGATTTATTAGTGACAGATCGTGCTGTCCGTACAGTGCAGAAGATGACAGCGCACTCCACCCACCCAGCAGACATGCTTCTTAGATACTACTACTACTTAATACCCATAAATTAAGCCCTGGAGATTTTATCAAAAGCTCTAGAATTTTAGGTACTGATGGAAATGAAATGATTTACGTACAGATTAAAGGCGGAGGATATGGCGGCAAACCTAATTAATGGCGCCAATAATATACGCATCATCGAGCTGCGAAATCCATTAGGACTAGCACATTCTGCCGCCACTTTGGCCGCCATGGCGTCGTGGCGAGCACGCACACACACATCAGTTGCGCATACACGACGGCCTAATCCGGTGTCATAGAATATGAGGAGAAGAATGTGCATGGTGAAGCCACATAGAAGGTCACCGAGAACGACCGCAACTTGTTTTTTATTCGTGGAGATGAATAAACTAGTACTACATGCATTGTGCCGTAAGTGTAGATACAATCAGTTTTGTTCGCTAGTTGTTTCTGAATTGATAAGTCCGACTGATACTGGTTTGTTTTAAGAGAAAATACTGTACATGACTGATAAGTCAAACGACCAAGCTGAATAATGTTTTTATCTGATGAAACCAGTTACAGCGCGCGCGCGCGCGCCACCAGTCTTCATATGATCCCAGCTGCACCCTGAAACCAGCAGTGGCTCTTGTTGGCTGCCTTTTGGCACAAATCTTTTAATTTCCTGTCACGTACGTCCATCGTCTGGCTGAAAGCTGGGCCGGATTAGACCTTTGCCTCTGCATCGTCATCCAGCACTTCATGAGACGCCTCATCCGCCTTGTCCTGCTGCTGCGGCAGCTCCAGCCCGCCGGGTTTGCCAGCGACGGAGGAGGCGGCGGCGCTGATCTTGTTCAGGTCGTCTCGCTCCTCGATGCTCTTGCCCCAGAACACGTTGTACAGGCCTCCAACCAGCAACGCCCCGGCAAAGATGCTGCAGATGCAGACAGATACAATACAAGGAATAATCAGATAAAATTTCAGTACTACGAAACACGCACACGCACGTACTACACCAACCTTCCTAGGCTGACTGCGTCCCCTATGATGAAGGAGGATACGAGGATGGTGAAGACGAAGGTGAGCGGCATGGACATGGCCAGGAACACGGGACCCCTCTTGGCGATCGTCCACATTTGCATGTAGTACGAAAGCGCCGTCACCATCACGCCCTGCGATCGATAACAACGTTGGTTGTTTGTTCCGTTCAGTTGTTCATTCAGAGAAATGCATCACTAGCTTGGACGTCTCTTATTAATTTGCTTCTCTAATTTGGACAGTAGTGTTAGTTGTCACTTGTCAGTGCAAGCAATCAAGCTCAGATAATGCATGCTTAGTTACGCACGCTGTAGATGATGGCGGCGAGGCCGACGTTCCAGCCCAGCTTCCACTTGGAGAAGTCCCTCTCCACCGCAACGGCCACCAGGAAGGCTTGCAGCGACGCCCACGAGATCTGCAGCGTCGTGTTCATCAGCTTCGAGGTGTCCTCTATCAGAGGGCCCTGTTAATTAGTTTGAACAACAGAATTAGATTAGATTTTTCTTTCAAAAGAAAACCAATAGAAAATCAGCTTGGAGATGGAGGTGTCCTCCAGCATGAACACTGCATGTGGTCCGGCCTGCAGTCTGCAGTGCGTGCTGATCGTATCTGCAACCGGGATAGATGAAATGATAAGTGCGTACCTGAAGCACTGTCCACAGGCCTGCTAGAACGTTGGACAGTGTCATGAGGAAGATCCCCAAGACCCACTGCTTCTTGGGTTGTGTGTCTCCTGCTTGTTCTCCAGAGGCACTGCCGTTCTGAAAGAGATGGTGGTGGTTGAAGGATCTGAACATTGGGCCCTGGTAGAAGGCCAGAATGGTGACGCCGGCGATGCAGAACAGGATGCCCGCGAATTTCACTTTGCCATGGAACCGAGTCAGCTTCAGAGTCTCCATCCTGTCATCACAGCCACAGGTAGTATATAGGTTTCTTCAGTTGGTAAAGTGAAGCACTGCTTGTTTTATCTTTTTATGATCGTCTTATATATTTTGTACTACTATGCTACACGGATACTTCTTTTCTTTTGCTTGGTTTTATTTACTCTGTTTGCTGTGTCATTTGTTAAAGGGTACTGGGAGAATCAGTAGTTTATTACCCAAATATGACGGCTAGGATGAATGTGACCACCGGTTGAACATTGTACAATGCTGATGACGACGTAGCAGAAGCATAGTTGAGGCCGAGGTTAAACAAGTCACCGCATGCTGTCACCCTGAGAAAAGAAAAACAGATATTCAGGCATTTCAGGTAAAGGACACAAACAAGGAGTTGAATTCGTATTCCTACGTAACAAACTCAAGTGCAGTACAAGTGTTGCAAGCAAAGCTTTTGCTTTTCAGAATTCAGAACTTCAGGTATCGAGTGACTTATTAAACAGAGCATACTGACAAGGCAAAGAGTAAACAAACAGCAGAACTCTCCCATGAACAAATTAAGTACCCTTTATCCGGAACTATTGCATTCGCATCTCATCTCACGCTAGCTAGAGTTTAAAGCTGAACCTACCCATATAGGGCATGTATGAACATCTTCCATCCAATCTTGAACGTAACCGGCTTAGCTTTTCGCCTGCGCACAACTAACAACATCATCGATCAGAACAAAACACCAGCTAATAAAACACAAAACAATAAGGCATCATATCAAGAAGGCACAGCACAGCTCAGGACGACGACCTCTCGAGAACAAAGGTGACAGGGATGAGGACGAGCGCGGCCGTGGTGTGGCGATAGAAGAGGAACACCAGCGGGTTCATGCCCTGGTCCAGGGCCACCTTGCTCATGACGTGCATGCCGGAGTACATGAGCCTGATCAGCACGACGGCGGCGTAGGCCTTGGCACCGCCACCCATCTTGGCAACAAGCAGCATTTCCTAGCTGCTACGACGCTACAACCAAGTCTAGCTACAACTAACTCTGGACGAGTTGGGGAGGCGCAGGCAGTGGAACCTATATATACTCGGTATAGTTGGCCAAACGGGCCGCCGGCACGGCACGGCACTAGCACGGGCACGGCCAGGCACAGCACTACGCGGCACGGTAGACTAGCCGTCTCGTGCCTGTTAGTGTCGCCGTGCCGAGGTACCAGCCCAGCACAACACTATCAGGTCTTAGCCGTGTCGTGCTGTGTCACTGGGCACGGCGGTCCAGCAGTGTCCGTGCCGACACTGGCACTATAAGTGCCCAACATCTCAAACTGATCAGAATATCAGGGACAATAACTTCATCATCTCAATCTTAAGTTACATGTTCTTAAAGTATCAGAATATCACAATAACTTTATCATCTCAATCTTAACTTCATCATCAGAATATCAAAGAACTTATCAAAGACTCAAAGTTACATGTTAAATTGATATTAACTTAATCACTGAAACGCATAGATCACATAATCACATAAACACATGAAGAGATAACAAAATAACATTTTATTGGGAGTTTTAGTGCAATGACTGTCTCATTAAAAACCTGTCTAGGTAAAACTCATCTTTGTGAGAAACCATGGCCAGGAAAAAAGAGTACAATCCAGCTTCAATTATAAAGTTCATCAAAAGTCCAGTCCATAGTCCACAATATTACAGTCCCATTACATAAATGATAACTAATCAAGATAAAGTTCTTCAAATGCTTCTTCAAGCTCCTTGTCCTCCACCATGTGTTGCAGCCGAGCTTCAGCAGCCTCCCAATCTTTGATGCAGGTCAGCATCTCCACCATTTCAGGCTTTAGCTTCCTCCGCCGCTCCTCAATGATCCTGCCAGTCATACTAAAAGTGGATTATGAAGATATGGTTTAAACAGGAACAGTTAAAATATCTTTAGTCATGATTGACAGCACTGGATATGTGAGTTTATGCTGATGCCACCAATCCAAGATGTTAAAATCATCATCTAAATGGTTCACAGTGTCACAGTCCAAGTAAGAAACAAGTTCAGAAACATTAGAACCTGAAGAACTTACAGCCTGCAGCAGGGCGGTTGCAGATGTATCTCTAGTCATGATTAGAGTAGCAATTGCAGTATGCATACCACCAGCACCACCAACATCACCATCATCATCATAAATTTTATTCCAAGCAGACCTTTTTTATCAGATAGGTTAGGAGGGGCAGTCCTCCTCAACCTAACACCTCCATATTTCTTCTCATACTTATTGTAGACATCAGTAAGTCGAGCTCTAGTGCCAACCTGGTAAGCACTATAATATGTACTAGTAAAGGTACCCAACCTCCTAAGCACTCTAATGAAACCTTTTATTTTAGCTCTGGGGTCCAGGATGAATGAAAAAAATAAAGCAAAGGTATGTCCCTCCAAGATTTTATTATATTTGTCTATCATAGGTTGAACCACAGGTCTGATGTGATTATCATTAGCATAATTCTTTAGGTGCATAGCAATCTTAATAAGATAATAAATCATGAGTGAAGATGTAGGATAGTACACACCAGACAATGCAACTATAGCATCATAAAACAGTTCAAGAAATTTAAGCATTTTTTTGCCTTAGCCCAATGGTCATCAGTTAAAAGCAACTGACCACCTTCAACTCTAGGATATTGAGCATGAATGAAAGTAGTGAATGGGACCTTATGTGGAAACAAATACTTAAGCATTAGGTATGTAGAATTTCACCAAACTTCCATGTCCAGTTGAAACTTTCTAGGCCTAACACCAGTGGCAATGCAGTAATTTTTATATGCAGCAATTCTCTGATTAAATGAGTTTAAGAAAGATATTGCAATTCTAAATTTTTCAATCAAAGGCTTAAGAGCAGTTAGGGCCTCTTTAACAATCAAATTGATAATGTAACATGCACAACGCTGATGCAAGAACATACAATTAACTGCATTGTTTAAATCATCACTATCATTAGATGATGCATTGACCACAACTTCAATAACAAGATATTTAGAAAGAACAGGTCTAAGTTTTTGCATGGCTGATACATTAGATGATGCATTGTCCAAAGTAACAGCAAATACTTTTCCAATCAAACCATAATCAGCAAGCACAGATGCAACAAGTTCAACAATGTTTTGTTCATTGTGGGAACAATCAATAAGCCTAAGACCAAGCACTCTCTTCTCTAGTTGCCAATCAGAGTTTATGTAGTGAGCAACAACACTAAGGTAGTCCTCTTTGGTATTACCAGACCAAATATCAGAGGTTAGACACACACAATTAACACTAGCAAAACTAACAATCTCAACAAGCTTAGCCTTTCAATCAGTGAAGTATTTAAGCATGTCTCTAGTGGTGGTTCGCCTAGAGACTGAAACAAATTTAGGATTATGAGCAGTTCTAATATATTCTTCAAATGCATATGATTCTCCCAAAGAGATAGGAACATCAAGCCTTGCAAGCAAACGAACCAGTTGAGTACGAGCGATAATAGGACAGTACTCCCAATTGCGCATACTACCATCAGGATTAAAAGAGATCTGTGACTGAGACATGTGAGTTTTTTTCACGCTTCCTAGGGCATTTATCCCTATGCCGGGTGAGGTGACCAGTGCCACCACTAGAGTGCCCAGAGTATTCCTTAGAGCAATGGATGCACTTAGCTCCATACCTGACCTTCTTACCATTCTCTATTTTGAAGAGTTTCTTGAAATCAAGCCACACTGCCGAGGTAGAGGGACGTGACCGCTTACCGTTATTCTCTTCCCCATCCACTGCTTGATCATCGCAGGGCTCGAGGATGATGGGAGCTTGAACGTTATGGCCGAACAGCTCCGCGACGTCCTCGCGCAGGTCGTCCTCGCCATCATCTCTGGCCAACCCACACAACCGCCTCTCTTGGTTGGAACCAACCTCAAGCGTCTCATTGTCGGATCCAGCCATCGCCACTCGTCAGCGCCCCGGTCCCTCAACGGCTTCGGACAAAATAGAGCTAGGGTTAGTAGAGATCGAGGGTTAGGGATTGAGCAAGGGTTAGGTCGATGGTGACTTACCTTCAAAGTCAAAGCACCAGAGTTGCCGACGAGGTCAACGAGGCACGGATCCGGCGAGGTCGACGACGAGGGATGGATCCGGATAGGAAACCGACGGATCCGACGAGGTCGATGACGGATCCAGCAAGGACGAAGCGAGATCAAGGGTTAGGGTTAGGGATTGAGCAAGGGTTAGGGTTAGGGATTGTGCCAGTGCTGGCGAATGGTGGCTCCAGAGGCCACTAGAGAGCAAGAAGAAGAGAGGAAGTCGGAGGTGAGAGAGGAGAGCGAGTCACCGACACGGCGACACCGACTCGCCGAGAGAGGAGAGCAAATGAATTAGGGCGATGGAGCGAGATGCGGTCGGTAGGCCAGGACGCGGTTTTGTACCCCCTATTCTAATGGCCGGATCCAACGGTCCGATGGGAGCGAGGCCGGAGATTCGACGGATCTGGTGAGGAAACCATCGAATCTAGCGAGGTCGACGATGGATCCGGTGAGGACGAAGCGAGATCAAGGGTTAGGGTTAGGGATTGAGCTAGGGTTAGGGTTAGGGATTATGCCAGTGTCAGCCAGTGGTGGCTCCAGAGGCCACCGGAGAGCGAGAAGAAGAAAGGAAGTCGGAGGCGAGAGAGAGAGCAAGTCACCGACACGGCGACATGGACTCACCGAGAGAGGAGAGCAAATGAATTAGGGTGACGGAGCGAGATGCGGCCGGCCGGCCAGGATGGGTTTTATACCCCCTATTCCAATGGCCGATCCAACGGTCCGATGGGAGCGAGGCTGGAGATCCGACGGATCTGGCGAGGAAACCAACGGATCCAGCGAGGTCGACAATAGGATCCGGCGAGGACAAAGCGAGATCAAGGGTTAGGGTTAGAGATTGAGCTAGGGTTAGGGTTAAGGATTGTGCCAATGTCGGCCAGCGGTGGCTCCAGAGGCCACCGGAGAGCGAGAAGAAGAGAGGAAGTCAGAGGTGAGAGGGGAGAGTGATTCACCGATGCGGCGACGGGCTACGCTGACTCACCGAGAGAGGAGCGGGCGAGACGACGTTGCAGGGGAGAGCTGAGAGAGGAGAGCCGAGAGTGAGATGCGAGAGAGTGAGAGCAAATGAATTAGGGTGATGGAGCGAGACGCGACCGGTCGGCCGGGACGGGCTGTTTTATACCCCCTATTCCAATGGCCGGATCCAACGGTTCGATGGGAGCGAGGCCGGAGATCCAATGGTGATGAGCCGTGCCGCTACCGAGCCGGCCTATATAGCATGTCGTGCCCAGGCCGGCACTATGGGCCAGAATGGCGACCCAGGCATGGCACTAAGGCTGGGCCGTGCTGTAACACCCGTAGTGTTATGATCTCATTTAGCATCGAGATTTGAGCCTAAGAGGATTTACCGAAATGATTTTCTCGGATTTTAAAATTTAACTTATATTTAAAAGTGTCAATTTTGGCGAATTATATTGAACAACGGGTTAATTAGTTTCTAGATGTTTTGTTTCTATGAGTTAGTATGACGTATGGACTAGTGCTTAAAAATGTCTGATAGCCAATAAAAGGGTGAATGGCTTGTTTATTTGATTAAGCATGAAAAACAAATTTTATAAACAAATCTTAGTGCTTTAGCCGTGTTTGAAAATATATATATAGTCGGCTTGGAAAATGGAAAACCCGTTAGTAGTTTGTGTGTCAAATAATAGTCGATTTGAAAAGTGATTTTTGTAAAGTAACAATAATATAGAACGTGTGTTTGGGGTTTTAATAAAAATTGAGGTACAAGTCGAGTAGATGAAAGCGCAACTTGGGTTTTGAAAAACAAATGCTGTTGCGTGTTCGTAGCCGCTCGTTTTACCTATCCTGCTGCAGCCAGCAGAGCCACACGACACCCATGTGTTCAGCTGTTAGTCATGGTTTAATTATTGACTAGCGAGCGGACAGATTCAC